CTTCCCTATTTTAACTGCCCTTATTGGTCAGCGCTTGGCTCTGGACTCCCCTTTGCCTCCCTCAGCCTACCTTTGTGACACTGGATCTACTAGGAGTGGCCCTGACTCTGCAGAGGGACCGGGGCTTCGAGTCTGGTTAGGGTGAGGGTCTTGATCAGGCGCCCCCTCCTGTCCATGGCTAGACGTACAAAGTAGTTGTGAGGCGTGGGGGGGCGCCCCTCCACCCATTGACAGGAGTCAGGGGGCCTGCAGAAGGCACTGAAAGGGGTCTTTCCATCGGCAGACCTTCCGCCTCTACCGTGACTATCAGGATGACATCCTGGTGAAAGCTTTCTTGGATTGTCAGAAGAGGAGCTTGGTGAACCGCCGCCGGGGTAATCACAGCCTGGGCCCCAAGAAAAGTCGGGCACTGCCCTTCGTGCCCATGTCTTATCAGCTCTCTCAGAGCTACTACAGGTTGGTGCCTTGCCTCTCCTTCCATCCTGAGTTGGCAGGGCTGAACATGAAGGATGTGTAGCTAGCCAACTGGGAAGTGGTTTTACCCGGGGGCTCTGGCTAAAAGACCCTGTTGTCCAGAAATTGGGGAGCCCCTGGTCTCCTGCTTCCAAGTCCTGTCTGGTCAGTCTCTTCTTTCTCGGTTCTCCTCAGAGTGTTCACTTGGCGGTTTCCCAGCACCCTTTGCAGTGAATCTTACCAGTTTCTCTTAAAACTCAAAGAAGCTGGGAAACAGGATGCCGTTTCCAGCTTTTCCTTTAAGGATCAAGACAACCTCCCTGGGGCTGAGATGGTAACATTTCCTTTGGATGGGCCAGGAGGCTACTGCTCTGCTCTGCTGGCCCTCTTCTCTCTCGGCCTGGTTTCTGTAGACGTTGCAATCCCAGAACAGATTGTCGTGGTTGACAGCACCATGGTGGAAAATGAAGTCATCAAGAGGTAAGAAGCCACAGTGCCTCCAGCCAGATTTGTGTGCTCGGTTCCAATTAATAATGTTTTATAACTGAATTTCTCAAACCTTTCATTGTTCCGTGCCTTTCTCTTAGAAGGTTGGCTGGCTGCAATCTTTCACTTACTGAACCATGCATAAGACCAGCCTTCTACACCAGCCATGCTGACATTTCACTCCTTCCTGCCTCTTGTAGCCTAGGGAAAGATGGGCTGGAAGAGGACGAAGACGATGATGAGGAGGAGGATGTGGAGGAGAACCAAGTCAACAAGCGCCAGATTGAGGTGAAGGCCCGGCAGGCTTCACGTACTAACTACCTGCTCATGAGAGGCTATTGTGCCCCAGGGATCATCAACACCCGGAATTTGAGTCCCACAGACAACATTGTGGTTGATTCCTGTCAGGTGAAAGTCAGACTGAGAGCAACACCTGCCCAAAACGGCCTCTTAGCTGAAGGTCAGTCTCCTGGGTAGAGGCGTTCTTGGACAAGTGGTCCCACAATAGTTTCCTCTTTGTCCCGTTTCAGAAGCAGCCATCATTGTGGTGGCCTCTGCTTGCCTTTGGCCTAGGCCTGGGGAGCAGATGTCTGGGTCTGCGCTTCCTGTCAGCCGAAGGACTTCTGTTTTGTGCCCACAGTCCCATTCGACCTGGAGAACATGCCGGTTGGAGCCTCTTGCCTCCCCAGCTCCTTCACCAAATGTCTCAGGATCCTAGAAGAGGCTGATCCAAAACTTCAGTTACTGGATCATTACAATCACAGCCCTGGAGATGCTGCCGCAGCCCTTGAAATCTTCTCTGCCATAGAGGCCACTTCACACTTTGGGGTGGACCAGGTGAATCTTGCCAGGCAGTTCCAGCATTACGAAGAAGCTGTTCTTGGGCGCTCTGGGGTCTTGCAGAAATATGTTCAGGTTGGTATGGGTGAGAGGGAGGAAAAAGCACAGAGTGGGAGCTCCTATGCAGCCTCCTAACCAAAGTGCTGTCCTGGAGCACTGCACAATTATACTAATTCCCCCCTCCCCCCGGCCACCTTCTGGTTCTTAAGTGTGCTGGCTGGGGTAGGATGGATGTGGTCCCATTGTTAAGATGTGTTTTGGATACATGGTGTATTTTCCAGGTGGACGTTGATTTCTTTTATATTTTATATTGTTCTTTTGTTTAAAATTGTCAGTGCCCAGCATTGCCTTGGAGTCAGGCAGCATCTAAATCTAATGAAATAAACGAATGCTGCAGTTGAGCACATTTGGTTCATGTTGGGGAGAGTGAATTTCCTCATCCTTTGTGGGTCAGAAGCCTTTCACTGTCTGGCTGTTTTTCACCTACAAACTTTGTGGATCATGATGCACCTTTCCTCCCATTTAGGATCTTCTTGATTTGGAGCAAGTGTTGGAAGTAGGTGGAAAAACTACCCGGCTGGTGGCAAAGAGATTTGCTAGTCCGTGGCTGTTGCATTCTGTGGGTCTCAAGGACATCAGTCAGAGCCTGCCGGGCAAAGAGCCATGTACAAAGAGGGACCGTGCTGAGCAGGAAGGAGAGGCTGCCTCCTGTGCTGTAGCAGCAAGAGAAGAACCAGCCAGGAAAAGGCCAAGAAGTGGTGGTGGGGAGGAGGGGTTTCCAGAAACAAGGGCTTTCTCCTCAAACTCCCCATGCTTGGAGGGAGCCAGCACCCCTGCAGCGCAAGGAGGAGCTGCCATGCAGAAATGCGGGATGGGCATCCCGTCCTGTAGGCAAAAAGCCATGGCCCTCCCTGGCAGAGAAGCCTTGGATGGGGGGATGCCCAGCCAAGAGCCCCATGAGGATTCCTGCTCATTCCAAGAGGATACTCTCAACGGTAAGCTTGAAGCCCTCCTGAACTGTACTGAGACCCTCCAGAAAGGAAACAAGACTTAGCTAGCTGGCTCACATTTTGTATTGGGGATGGGGGGGGGCTCACTCCCAGAGACAAGGAAAGCACATCTCATTGGTGAGTCTTGTCTCGATGCTGTTCCCTTCAACAGTCCATGAAATGGAAGACAGGACCCTCCCCAATCAGCTAAACCTTGTTCAGTAGCAACTCTGATGATCACACTAATTATTCAGTACAAATGAGATGGGTGTTTCTGTGGCTCACTGCCTTTCCTGCTCTTCCCTAGGATGTGCGACAGGGCAGTCTCTTCAGGCTGAAACAAGACGGTAAGCATGCAGATAAAGCACAACTTGTAGCTGTTGCATTTGTTGTGCAATTGGGAAACAGCAAGGATAACCTGAACATAAGAAGTGCTTTTATTCCAGCCATCTGTCTATATGCACAGGTCTGGAATTCTCAACTTGTTGAGCTGTAATCTTTGAAGCTGCAGCAGGAGCTTCTATTTTTCGCTTACTTTTATGCAGAGCAAGCTCTGTATGAAATAGCTTTCTCTGGATTAATTTCCAGGGTTTTATGAAAGGCGTTTTGTGCAGATATGGTAAAGAGGGCAAAGCATGGGCGGCTCTCAGCTTCCCATGTGCCAAAGAAGCCTCTAATTTGGTGCCGAGATGGGAGTAGACTTAGAGGTAGGACAGACAGGACATAAAGCAGAATGATAATGTTGCACCGCAATTACTGGATGCATCTTCACAAACATTTCCTGATACCAGGAGAGAGGCTATTTGCACCTACAGTGAATTGGCTCATTCTCCTAAGCAGGGATAGCATCTGCTTTGTGGGGCGGCCTTGGCGCATTGTGGACGGCAGTCTGAACAAACCAGTCTGCAAAGGGATCATGGAAGGGGTGCTCGGCCACATTATGACAAAACCTGGCATCACAGAAGCGGCCCTGCAACACCACTACCTGGGCGTCCTGCAGCCAGTGGCTCTCCTGGAGATCCTACAGGTGGGTGTGCTTGGTGAGGCAGGTCATATAATGGTGGCTGTTTCTTCTGAGGAACGGACAACTGTTCAGATCCAGAAGGGCAAAGAGATTTGGGATCTGGCATGGGCGCCATCCAAAACCAGCTTCCCAGTCTGGGGCAACCCTTTCTCTGACCCCCAGAATGCCAGAAAAGGCTGTATGTTCCCAAGAAGCTGACGACCTCCGCCTATCATTTTCCTATGCAGCTGGAGCTGAGCTATCAGACAGTCCCTAACCCTAATCGGAGGGCTCCCCCTCCCACCATCCATAGTTTCCCTCTCTCTTTCCCCCGCCCCCCCCCCAGCTGACGGGTCCTCTTGCTCCCTGCAGGCTCTGGAGTCTCTAGGCTGCATCAGAAAATTCTACTTTGAAAGGCCCGGCGCCGCTTCGCTCTTCTCCAAGCCTGCCCGGGAAGAAGTGATCACCGAGGGCAAGCTGAGCGACGCTCCGGCCGCCTTCTACGAGCCGGCCATCGACTGCACCCTGAAAATGGGCAGGGTCTTCCCCTACGAACTGAACTGGAACAAGTGGGGCGCGGGGGCGCCGCTGTGAGCGAATAAAGCGACTTTATTAAAGCGACTCTGGCTCCCTTCCTCCGCCGCGGCTCCTGCTCCTTCAGGCTGCTCAGTCCCGCCAGCGGTGGCCGCACCGGCCGCTGCAGCACTTGTAGAAGGTGGTCATGGGCTCGTCGGCCGAGCGCGTCTGCAGCTGCATGAAGTAGGCGCGCGGGTGGCCGCACTTGGGGCAGGGCTCTGCGGGGGGGGAGGAGGGAGGGAGGGGTCAAGCGAGGGAGGGAGGGAGGGAGGAGTCCGCCCCGCCCACGCGTTCCCCCCACGCACCTGCGGTGGAGTCCACGTTCTCCCAGGCGGCGGCCCCGCCCAGCACGTCGTCCACTTCCTTTAGCTTCGGGTAGCGCCGGCTCGTCACCTGGCAACGCGGGGAGAGGGTGAGCGGAGGCGAAGGGGGGGGCGCGCGGGGGAGGGAGCGAGCGAGCGAGCCCCGGCCCGCCCGGACACCCACCTTGCGCGTGACGTTGCGCACGTAGGGGCAGGTGGTGCAAGCGAAGCGGTGGCAGCGGGCGCCCTCCTCGGCCACCAGCACGTTCCCGCAGGCCGGGCAGAAGAGCAGCATCTCGGCGCGCCTCGGACGTCCGCCTGCGCGATAGGCGCCACTTCCGGTTCCGGCCGCGCGAGGATCCGGCCACGACGATGATGGAGGAGGAGGAGGAGGAGGAGGAGGAGGCGCACGCGGAGGCGGTGGCCCGCTGGCAGGCCGGCCTGGCGCAACTAGTCAGGGACCCGCTCCTTTGCGACCTCCCGGCGCAGGTCAGTGGCCGCGGGGGCGGGCGGGGGACGTCGTAGGCGGCGGCTTACGCGGCGCATGCGCGCTGTGTCCTGCAGGTGACCCCCGAGGAGATCTGCTCGCAGGTGGCGCTCGAGTATGGACAGGCGATGACGGTGCGCGTGCGCAGAGTCGACGCCTCAGAGGCGCCCATGCGTAAGTCGCGGGGGCGGGGGGCGGGGGGCGGCGCGCCCCCTTGCGGCCGCCGCGGGGACACCCAGCTTTTCTCTCCCCGCAGCGGTGGTGGTGGTGCAGAGCGCGACCGTGCTGGAGCTCAAGAAGGCGCTGCGGCGGTTCGTGCAGCTGCGGCAGGAGCGGCAGGGCGGCGTGCGGCACATCAGCTGGTGAGTGCGGGCGCTGCGGACGAGCGGGGGGGGGGGGAGGCGAGCTGGCTGGGGAGGCCCCGCTCATCGCCGCCCCGCTGCCCCGCAGGAGGCACGTCTGGCGCACCTACAGTCTGACCTTCGGCGGAGAGAAGCTGGCGGACGACCGCAAGAAGCTGCGGGAGTGAGTGGCTTCGCGGGGCGGGAGGGTGTCCGGGGAAGGTGCCGGGGGGCTTCTCGCCTTCTGGGGAGCCCCCATCGTCCCGAGGTGACCCTCGCCTGCCTCTGCCGCTTCTAGGTATGGGATCCGCAACCGGGATGAGGTCAGTTTTGTGAAAAAGCTCCGGCAATGAACTCCCAGGCAAGTCCAGCTTCTTGTCCCTTCCTTGGGCGGCTGCCGGCCTCGCGTGGCAATGTGGCTCTGCATCCGGACGATTGCTGGGGCTCCCAGGCAGGATTAATATTAGCCCCAAAGCCTTGGCAGTTGTGTTTGGTGAAGCTGTTTCCCACCTCCATCTTTTCAAAGTTAACGTTGCCTGATTTCGAGGGGGTCTTTGGGGTGCAGTAGTAAGCTTGCTTCATTAACAGGTAACCATCCTGGTGCTATTTGGGAATTTGTCTGAGCCCCTTTTGGGGTCTCTGAGTGGACTCAGGGCTGTGCACCGCCCTGAGTCCACTAGGAGAAGGGCGGGATATAAATTGTATAAATAATAATAATAATAATAATAATAAAAAAGGAGAAGGGGGGAGAAGAAGCCATATTTGCTTTGCTTCAGGGAAACCCCCAGAATTCCCCCCAAAACCCTCACTTCTGCACATATGGAACAACTGTCCTTTTTTTTTTAAACAGTGATCGAGAATCCACATTTGAAAAAGTGCTGGATCTTTTTCTGAACACGAAGATATCAATGAATCTGAAGCAAGTAATAGCCAGCCAGTAACATTAAAATTTCTTAAATTATAATAAAATACATTGAAAGTTTTTTCTATTAAATTACCACTCATCCAATTATATACACACACTCACACACACGTTACCTCTGCACTCAATTGTATAGTGTATAGCATCAGTAGAATATGAATCTACAACTGATACTGTCGGTTAACATTTTTCTTTGTACTTGATTGATTTCATGACATCATGTGATTGTCAACTCTTAGTGACCACATAGATTTTCTTCATGATGATCTAACATCTATACTTGTTACTGCTCCCTCTGTACACAGCCAGTCTTTCATTTTAAATGTTAGAATTCATCCAAGTTCAGTGTTTGCATGTTAGAAATGGAGTCAACACTGAATGGAGAACTGCTTTGGGAGGCACTTGGTCAGCAATCTCAATTTTGGCACAGATACACTCCAAAACTTAGTGGAAATGTAGCTAAAACGCTACCTTCACTTTTAATCACCACCAGGGTAACAATTAACAAACCTCATGAAAAGGGTCGCTTTGAAACTAGCATAATAAAAACATGGCAGCAGAAAAGGTTCAGTAAAATTGAACAAGGCACCAACTTTCTGTGTGCTGAAAAAGTTCCAGTCGCCAAGATAAGGCAGCACAGGGAAAAGCAGGAATTTTAAGTTGGCTGGCAGTCTGGCAAGTAGCACCAGGCCAGCTTTGCCCAAGGCAGCCGGTGACTCCACCCCTCCCTGCTCAGTGGAGCTGCGCATCCAGGTCATACTTTTCACAGAACTTGTCAGTGAAGGGAAGGCAGGTGAGGACCTCGCACCACTGGCAGCGAATGGGGTAAAAGTAAAACAGCACCACCAGTCCGGAGAGGAGTCCCACGAAGACCGACTGGAAAACGATGATCTGACACCGCTTTCGGTACAGGTCAAATTTGCCAAAGCTGATGTAGGGGAGGAAGGCGAAGGACAGGAAGAGGCCACTGATAAAGCCACAGATGTGAGCAAAGTTGTCTATCCAAGGGAGGAGACCGAAGGCAAACAGGAAAAGCACAATCGCCAGTAGTTTGAAGAAGGCCCTCCAGGGCCGAGCCAGGATCTGCCAACTCTGGAAGAGCTCCACAAAGAGGCAGGCCAAGATGCCAAACTGGGAGCCTGCTGGGCCAACCTGGATAGGGGGTCACCATTAGACACCTGCCCTGCATGGAAGGCTGGTTGGACAGGGTAGGTCCTACTCAAAATCTAGGTCAAGGCCCTGGCTTGTACAGCCAGCCACTCCTATAAGCAACCCGGGGGGAAGTGCCTATAGGGGTGGGGGAAGGAGCATCTCAATTTCAGGTGAAAATTTGCAAGATTTGCCAAGATAAAACACCCTCCCCTCCCCCCACAAGGGAGGCAGGAAACGCCCAGGAGTATCAAGACTGGGTTCTGTCCCCAACCCTATCTGCTTTTATCCAGCCTCTGCTGGAGGATGGCAATGGCACTTAGACTTATATACTGCTTCACAGTGCTTTTACAGCCCTTTCTAAGTGGTTAACAGAGTCAGCATATTGCCCCCAACAATCTGGATGTTCTACAAGCGAGCTGACCGGTGGCCTGGTCCTCAAACTAAGACACGCTTTGCTTGGGAAGAAGGAGCCCCCTTCATGAGCTGCTAGTGAGACACACCTCGGCCCGGTAAGGGAGGAAGATAGCGCTGGCTAGGTTGCCTGTGATGCCGCTAAACAAGTAGATCAGGGAAATGCGGTGCCAACCAGCCAGCTTCTCCAAGTCACGCAAGATGGTCATCTGGAAGCATACGGACACAAGGCAGTGCAGGATCCTATCGGGCAGGGAAAAACAGCAGTGACCAAGTGGGACGTGGACTCGGGTTCCAAGGAAAAGGCGTTTGTGGCCCTGGGCCAGGCTTACCCTGCATGAAGGAAGAGCGACAGCCACAGGCGGTAGACCTGATCTGGCACCTCAGGGTTGAGGAAGGGGAGGAGGCCACAGACATCATCCATGCAGTGCACCTGGCAAGACAGAGGAACAGCCAGGTCAGAGAACGCCGCCTGCCTGCTGGAGCCAGCCAGAAGGGGGATGGGGGTACCTGGGAGCAGAGTGTGGCCTCTTCGTGAAAGTAACCATGCATGAAGGTGCAGTATTCCCGTGAAGTGATCTCACACCTGGGAGAAGAGAACCAGATGCTTGGAAGTTAAGCCAGGCTGAAGTGGGGAGGATGCCAGCTAAGGCACCAGGAAGTAAAACGGACTGATGAGAATGAGCTTAAAGGCTGGGGCAGCTGAGCCCCCAGTCCTAGAAGGGCTGGTCCAGGGCATCTCCCAGCAAAATGAGCTGGCCCCCCACCCTACCTTCCCTTGGTGCCGATACAGCAGGGCCGCCCAGTGATCACACAGTCCATGTGCAGGTGGTTGGTGTGGTTCCCAGCACTGTTGTTGGTGCAGATCTGGAAGAAGATGGGCAGGCGTTGCTCCTGGTCCTCAAGAGAAGGCCCTCCGAAGCCTTCTCCACCCCCCTCACTCCATGTGCAGGCAGACATGGGGCAACTGGACAGTCAATCACTGCTCCCTAATCCTCCAGAAACCTACAGGCCACTTGGTGATGTCATCAGGCCACTCATGAGGGTCCATGGATGCCGGCTGCTCACACACCCTATGGAGGGAGAAGTCCTGGGCAACTTTATGTGTCAGACGCAACACCAGCCCCTCTGCCCTTGCCAAGAGCTGGACCCCCACACGTGGACCCCCAACCTACCTGGGATCTTGGTGGCACACAGAGCCAAACTTTCTCTTGCCCCCAGCCAGCAAGGGGGTGCTGGGATGACTTGGCCACTTCACCCACACGGCCAAAGTGGACTGCAAAGCAGAGGGGCAAAAGTGGGCAGAAGCAGGGTCCCCAAGGGGCGCCCTTTCCCCCACGAAAACAGGGGACAGGCCAGTGGGAAGGAAGAGATCATGAGCCGAGCTTACGGAGCACTCCTCCTCGGCCGTCTGCACACAGCCTGATTTGTCGTTGCGCACACAGCAGGCAGAGTGTTTCTCCTTCTCCCGGTCAGCGCTGATGAAGCTGTGTACCTGCTGATCCTGTCGCATGCAAGGGGCAAACTTTGCTCCCAGATGGATGAGAGCTTCCTGAAAGGGCAGCAGAGTCTCAGCTAAAGCCCACAGAAAGACCGACTCCCAGACAAGGCTCTGGCCAGGACAAGGCTGAGCCATAGAGGGATGAAGCAGATGGGGGCCGGCACTCACCGAGCTGGGCCCTATCCAGAAATTCTCTTGCTGGACATATTTCACGTTCTCATATATTCCCCGGTTTTTCAAGACCTACCAGTAAAAAGGCCCATTGAGGAGAGGAGATGGGAAGAATGCCCACCTCCAGCCCTTCCAGTAGCAGAAGAGGAAGGGCTCCTCGGAAGTAGAGAAGGGGCAGGTCCATTATGGGAGAAAGGGGACCAGGGAGACGTCAGGTGCTGCCACTCACCGAATCCACTGTCTCGTGCTGCGAAAACCCCACAGGAGCAATCCCGTAGATGGACACAGCCAGGATGGTGATGAGTGAATGCACGAAGGTGACCCAGTAGGTGAAGAACGGCCTGTGCAGAGCAGAGGGTGATGGGGGCCATCAGGCCACAATCAGTTGCTCACCCTCCCAGGCACCCAAGCCTCCACCCACCGGTGGTCATCCATGTCCTCAATTTGCTGCTTCACAAAGCTATCGATGCGCTTGCGGTACGTCCGGTTGGTCAGCCGGCCCACTATGCCTAAACCGTAGGGACGCTTCTCTTTGGAAAAGAGTTTGCGGACAGGTATGGTGATGCGCTGGCCACGCCGCTGGAGGCCCAGGCTGACCACCTCCTGCCGCAGACGGACCTTCGGTTGCACGGAAGCCCCCTCTTTCTGTTTCCGCCAGCCACGCTCCAGGGGGCTGGAAGACAGGGAAGGCAAGAAGAGGCTCATTCCTCAAAGAAAGAGCTGGAATCTTGGACCATGTCCCCATGCGGTGCACTTAATTGCGGCATGCACACCCCCTTTCATCCCCCTTTCATCTGGTGTCTGAGTGCATGGTTTCCAGGTCATGCCAGACCCTGAATCACGGATGGAATGGATGGTTGAGAGCCTGGAACATCCGCCTTGCCTTCTTTTAGGACCCCCCCCTTCCCAACTGCAGGTCACCTTTCCAAACGGCTGCAGCGTCTGGCATACATCATCAGAGGAATCTCTCCCCAGGGCAACTGCAAGGGGCCACCCGCTTTCCTTCCCCCAGAGGACTCAGGCTTGTGTTTGTTGGCCTCTGTGCATCCCCTGCAACACTCACAAGAGCAGGTGGCTTCTCTCTAGCTCACTCCGGTCCAGAGCCCCCCCTGTGAGGGCTGACTGAGCCTGCAGGGTCTTTGCCTCGGGGACCCTTAGGGCTGCTTCAGAGGGGGACTCAAAAACTTCATCGGGATATGTGGAGGGCTCTTCTGGCAGGACCCCTTCCTGGGCAAGGGAGGGAAGACCCAGCTGTGAGGAGCTGCTGGGGCCACCAGCAGTTCCACCCCTTCCCTTCCCCTCCCCTGCGGCTCAACTCCTACCCTAGCAAAGAAGGAGGTGTCCAGCTCATCTGGGAACTCCGTGAAGTCTTCCTCCAGGAAGCTGGCCGGAGTGAAGCTGCGCTGTCGTGTCCTACGCAGGGTACCATCTCTCATGGAACGGCCCTGGCAAAGAGAGATGTTCAAGAGGCGGGAAGCATGCCATCCCTAAGCAGCCACGAGTGGGCCAACCCACCATAATTCATCCAGGATATGCTGACCACTCTCCACCAGCACGGCAGAAGGGGCTAGGTTTGGACTTCAAAGCCCTGCAAGGCCTAAGGATCCTGGCAAACCTTTTTCAGCTCTCCTGCTCCACTGGACCAGGACCAAGAATAGGGGCCTGGCCTAGCCACAATGCTTCCAAAAAGTAATTAAAAAATCAAATACTTCAGCCAGCTGGATTGATTTCAGTGTGTTCCTCTTGCTTATTCTCAGAAGGAGGACTGTTGCCAGCCCTGGGTGGAAGAGACCAGCCACAACTGCTAATCAGACTGATTAGACCATGCATACAGAATGCGAGGAAGGCTGCAAGCACTGGCTACGTATTGTTGTGGTCCACCAGCAGCCTGCAGAGCTGGCAGTAGTCGGACAGTGAGGAGTCTGGGGAAGACCTGGACGAGGGCTCGGCATCGGAGGCAGGGATGGGACCAGGGCTATCTGGGAGTGATGTGCAGACTCCGGAGCCCCCAGAGGTGGACAGCAGAGAGGCAGAGGAACAGGAGGAGCCTGTTCCTAGTGCATGCATGCACAGAGTTGCCAGAAGGCAAGAGCAGCTAAAGCAAAAGGGACAACTCGGGAGTAAGGCCAGATGATTGGCCCCACCCATAAGGCTTAAAAGAGAAACAAAGGCACTTGGGCCTTTTTGCAGGAAAGCAACGTTGCTAACTCTGTTTCTCTTGTTTATTTCTAAACTTTATGGGGCTTTGCCAAGCAAGGCCTTTGGCAGGGTGTCAAAGAAGATAATGGTTGGTGATTATCCCGAAGGACTTCTTCTTAAGAACTTGTTTTGCAACTAATTAGGACTCAGCTGGGAATGAACATAATTTTCAGCTGTTACAATAAAATAGGTTTATTTGGGACTAATTGTGTCTTGTAATGACTCAGTAAGCCTAGGTCACAACAGGTATGTGCATAGGGGCAGGAGCCCCGAGGTGTGCTAGTGAGATGGCACATGCCCCTGGCAAGATGTCCTTTCCCTCTCCCTCCCTCCCAGCCCCTCACCTTCACTAGCGCTGCTGCTGCTCGGAAGCTCATCTTAGCCACTGACTCCCTTTTCCGCCGCCGAGGCCAACGACCGAAGCCGGAGCGTGAGCTAGTGAAAGAGCACAACGAGGCAGCTCCTGGTGTGTTTGGGGTGGGGGGCACATTGCAGCCATCGCAATCCTCCACCACTCGGAAGGCCCGTCCACGGGCCAGAGGGTCGATTATCTGACAGCAGAGAGAAGGAAACAGCCCTGAGGCCAGCAGCCACAATAGCTCCTCCACCAACTGGGCTTCAGCAGGTCCCAGGAGGAGCTTTGGGGGGGACGATCAGGTGAAGAAGGGGGGGGGCAGGTGTCTTATTCCAGAACTGCTTCCCATAGAGTGTCTGCCATTTCCTTTAGCCCTGTCACCACCCTTGTGGGAAGGTGCTCTTCCTTCCTCCTCCACAATTGTGATGACAAGAAAGTCAGCCCAGAGGCTGCTTGCTCCATCCCACCAAAGTCATGTGACCCCAGGCTACCTACTCTCTGCATGCCAGGTGGGCAAGGGGGCAGATAGAGTGGTGGTGGGGTCTCCGTGCTAGCCAGAGAGATGTTGTCCTGGCTCGGAAGGTCCATTTCGCGGAGGGCCTGAGGTTTCAGCTTTCCGTAGCGCAGGCTGCAGTGGCGCAGGCTCTTCCGTTGCCACTTCTGGGTAGCATCACTCTCCTTACTGACCCCAAACCAGTCTGCTGTGCCCCTGATGAGAAAGTGGAGGGTCAGGAGGAGACCTTGCTGAAGCCACAATATTACTCCCCTTCCAGCCACTGACATTACTAAATCCCTCATCCCCCAAGACTCTGGGCCCAGAGCCAGTGGTCAAGATGAGGGGTGGGAAGTAGGGGGTGTTGCCAGTGGGAGTGAGCTACAAGAGCTTCAGGAGTTGTTAGTAGCACCTACAGGACAGTGTCACAAGAGACCCTTCATTGGCTGGCAGAATTCTTGGCCCTGTGGTGGGTGCAGCCACTCGTGGGCCAGGTCCAGGATCACAGCACAGGAGGGGCCCAACTGGACTCAGAGGCAGGAGGGAACAGCCGATTTCCAGAGAGTGGTTTGTGTGTGTGTGTGTCACAGGCTGCTTGCTGGCAACTGGAGCAGCTCTGCTGCCAGGACCCACATGCAGCTCAAACGCATGCAGTCACTGGTACCTGAACAGTGTTCTGGGCAGTGACTGGCGCTTTCTCAGGTACCTCCTGCCCACCTGGTGCCCCCGAATGGGCAGGGTCTGGGTCCTCTCAAAGTGCACCTGTCTGCTGCAAAGGAGAGAGTCCTGAATGGGGGGAAGGAAGGGGGCTCCGGTGCCTCTTGGCTGGGCTAGAACAACTGGCTCTTCCAGTGGTGACAGCTTGGCAAGATGTGGGGTGGAGAGAATCCCTGGCACACAAGGAGGGGCAGGAACCCATGTCCCAACTTGGCTGGGTTCTATCACATCAACACCCAGCTCAGGTCACTCACAGACCTAGGGGCTACTGGAAGGCTGGGGGCATTGGAGCTGCCTGGTGGGCGAGGTGCCTCTTCCCAGCCTTTTGTCCTCTGGATCGCACGCTCCCTTGCTGCTCAGGCATGCTGTCTCTGGATGCCTGCTTCCTTTGCTTTCCTGGGCTTGGACAGAGGCACCAAGAAGCAAAGATGCCATGTCCTTTTTGCAAGAGCCGGAAGACTGTGCAGCCCTTCTTGGTCGTGCCCCTCCGGCTCCTGTCCCCCTTCAGCTGAACTTCTCAGTTGAAGAGCTGCGGAGCCTCCTTCCCTCTCGAGGGCTCGTTTATTGCCAGGAAATGCATTGGCAGAGAAAAGCTGCCAGCCAGTAGGGCAGGGAGGACGTGTGACAATCCAGTTGCCAACCGTGCCTTGGCAGGGACCCAGTCCAAATGTCCAGCACTGCGCCAAGGCACGGGCTCTAGGGCTTACCTCCAGATGGTCTGGGTGATGGACGTCTGTTGCTGCAGGACAGGCCGCCGTGCCTCGCTGTAGGCAGCAGGAAAGAGGCTGTTCTCGGCAGGCATGCTGATGCTTCGGAGGAAGGCCTGGCGCTTCAAGGGCTGCAAAGGAACGGTGCCCGGGCATCAGAGCACTGGCAGCCAAATGCAGAGGGCCACCCCTGAGGCCAGAGAGGCCCCCCCATCCCTCCCGTCTGGAGGCTCCAGGATGGGGCACTCCTCAGCCGATTTCTGTGCAGGCCCCCCAAGGAATTCCCCCATCCTACCAAAGACCCGCCCAGCCTTTGGGGAAGAAAGAGCAGCTGGCAGGTCAGGCATGGTGGAAAGGCAGAGCAGAGCCCACTGCTGGATGACTGGCCGGCCGGCTGGCTGGGTACCTGAAGCGAGGCTGGTTCCTCTGCTGCAGCCAAGAAAGGGGCAGCCGGAATGTCCAGTTTCAGCCAAGGAGGCTTCTTCCTCTGCAAGCTGCTAGAGCTGTCCTGGCGGATCTCGGTCATCTTCCCTCTTCAGAAGCCCAGCCTAGAGGGGACAGAATTTATGGGCAAACAAACCACACACCGAGGCAAGCCTGCTTGTGGCCACAAGCACCGACTCTCTTCCCCCTTCACTGGAAGGCCTGGCCTGGGACCCATCCTGTTACCCTCCAGCCACTTGGCTTCCTAAGATCCAGGGTCCACTGAGCTCTGGGAAACAAGCAGTGGTGAAATCTAAAATGTGTTACTACCAGTTCTGTGGGCGTGGCTTGGTGGTGGTGGTGGGGTAATGTGACTGGGTGGGTGTGGCCAATTTTCTTTTTTTTACTTTTAAAAGCATTTTTTCTATCACCTCTTCGGTGAAGAAGTTGTAAAAAAATGCTTTCAAAAGGCTCTGACGATCCCAGCTGAGCCGCACGATCATCAGAGGCTTTTTTTTTTTACTTTTAAAAGCATTTTTCGGCCGAAGAGGTTGTAGAAAAAATGCTTTTAAAAGTTAAAAAAAAGCCTCTGATGATTGTGTGGCTCAGCTGGGAATGGGGGGGGGGCAGGGATTTTTGCTACCGGTTCTCTGAACCACCCGCCTCCATCACTATTGGATCGGGCGATCCGGTCCAAATCCGAAGCATTTAACCCCTAGAAACAAGACTACATTTAAGCAGCTGAGGCTATACTTGGCTTGAAGCTAAACTAGCTTTGCATATCTAGCAAAATGATCCAACACCAGCGCAGACCTGACCCTGACAGACAGCCCTTCCAAGCCCCTGGCAAACCCCTCGCGGCCAGAAGGCTTCCCAAGGTCTGTGTGGGGTCCTTTGGGCTGACGGGTCAGCTTCATCAGACAGATTAGGCAGGAAACACAAGCTACTAAGATCATTCCACTTTGTTTTGCAAGCCTGAAAATGCTATTCTCCCGCCATCTCCTTCGCAGCCTGGGAAACTAGGCAGGGTCCCTCCTGAGCCTCTTGCCCTGCCCACTTTCCAGCTGTGGGCTCTGCTACCTCTTCTCAGACCATTCCCTGGGCAGCATCTCTTCACTCCCGTCTCCCACAAAGACATTTTGGGACATACCACTATAAAGGGGCAAGGTTGAAGAGGCCTGCCTGGATAGAGGAATCCCTAAGCAAGAGGGTCATGCTGCCCACAGCCACACTAACATCAACACAGCTGCCTTTGGCAGTTTCCATCCTCTTCTGGGTCACATGAAAATGAGGAAGCAATTAAAGCAGACCATCTGTTCTAGGGAATGAAAGGAGGATGACTCCCTTCCCAGAGGGATCCTGTCCTAATGGGGCCCTTCCAGCAAGCAGGGCAGGGCTGGGCCAGGAGAGTTTTCTGGTGCACATAACCAGCCAGCTACCTTCCACTGGTAACTCCACAGTCCCTCCATGTCCAGACCCCTGGCTCAGGGATGGCTGGGTGTTCTCACCCCAGTGCCTCCAAACATTAGGCAGACCTCTCTTCCCTGCTTTGCCTACCTCCCCCCCTGCCTCCCTTTGCCACCCACTACTCCAATAAGTCTACATCTGCCGGGAGGGCCTCCCTGTCTCAGACCCTGAGCCACTCCTGGCTGGAGCCTCCCTCAGCCCCCTCCTTTCCAGCTCCAGCAGAAAAAAGCCATGACTGAAATCCACAAAACCAGGCTCCGTTTTGGTTTGCTTCAGATGATCTTAGGTTACCTCTCCCATGTTCCACACACCCACTGATGGGAGGGGGTCTCCTTCCCCTCTTAGAGCTACCTAGCCTGCCTTCCTGCCTTATATGATGATCCATCACCCCAGATGATGGAAAAGTTGAGAAGGCTTCTTCTTCCTGACTGTCCTTCTCTGCTGGGAGTGGGTGGGAACCATTGGCCTAAGACTGGTCTCTGCAAATATGCACCAAGCAAGGAGGGAACCCAACCCAGTAGGAAGCAAAGACAGCCATCAGATGGGTCTGAATTTGCACTCGAGTCCCTCTCTCATGACACTCTGATGGGCTGGGGGTTCACAGTGGGGCTCTGGGCTGGGAGGTGCCGCCCTCTTCCTTCCAGGGCAGGAGCAGCCACCCCAGGATGAGACAGTCCTCAGAACTGGGAAGTTCCCACTTTGGCCAGAACCAGAAAATCCAGTTGAGGCTTCAGATTCTTCCCACAGCTTCCTGGCTTTCAGATTTTCTCAGAGGAGCCTGGTTGCATCCGAGCCATAGCAGCACATTTGTTACAGCTCTGTGGGAAAGGTGCCAAAAAACGCTGCCCTCCTTTTCTCCTTGCAGCCAGCTAGCTTCCCTTCTACAAAAACAGAAGGGTGGAGACCTTGTCATCCATGCAGGCCCCTCCCCCAGGCAAGGCCCATTCACACACACAATCTGGACCTGCAGTTTTCCCTTTATTTAGAAATGCACACTTCTAAAGTACTGCACGGGGAAAATCTCTACTCCTCTCTGCTGGGGGACAAAAACAGGAAAAAGGACAGAATTCCAGTTGTTGACCCAGCCATCTCACTAGAGGCCTTTTGGCTGAATCCTCCTCCATGGCGCCAGAAGGCCCTGTAGACCCAGTCCTTCACCCACCCATCACCCATCCCCACTCAAGGCAGGAATCCAAAACAAGCTGAGTCCTCCCCACCCGGACACCCCGTCTTGTCCTCATGTTCAAGCAAAATCTGCCGCCTTTTCACTCCCCTCCATTCCTTGGGGCTCTAGCAGGCCTGACCTTCGCCTCTGCAACGTCCAGGAAAGCACTGTGCTCACCCCTCCTTTCTCTTTCTGCAGATTCCCTTCTCCTCCTACTCTCTTCAGGGGACTTGGTTTCTAGCCTCATGGCTGCCTTCCTACCTGCTCAAAACTTACATGGTGGGAGGCCAACTAAAGTAAGAAATCTTCCTAAGATTGGGAAATTATGCCTCCCTCTGCTTCTTTCTCCTATGGCCTGTGGCCAGGCGCAGCCTCAGCATCCTTCCACCACTGCCATTGCCAAGCCAGGCATTGCCCACCCGCCCCTAGGCTGCCACGATGCCCAGTCAGTCTCTGGAGGACAAGGCACCAGCAGGCAGAGTCTGCCCCAACTTCTTTCCTCCAGTGGGAACTCTCCCCACCCCCAGCTTGCCTGTCATAGCAGTGCCACTCTCCCTTTTAGGCTCAGCCTTGGGAACTGCAGCTTATGCTTAGAAAAGGAAGGGAAGAAAGCTTTCAAGGGAAAGGATCAGCTCAGCCACATCAGAGCAAAGCTTCCCTTTCGTGGTCCCAGCCCCAACCGGATGCCACAATAGGAAATCCAAGAGACGGGAGGGGGGGCTGTGCTGCTGTGGGCAGCTGAACTAAGAGGAAAAGGCGCAATTCTTCATGTGGTCCAGCCCAGCTGGGCGTGATTGCTTTCCTATGGATTTTTCTGAAAGAATTCAATTCTGTTGGCTGTTCCCTGGAGCAGAATGTTCTTCCGTCTCTGCCAGGTTGTGGGCTTCCCATGACCAGTACCGGCAGCTCTGTGCTGTTTTCCTACGTTTGCCTTGCGGGAGAAGCCCCACTTTGGTTTCAAGCCCAATCAGGCAGATCCCCTCTGCCACCTTGACGCCAGCCGGTTCCATGAGTAGGAAACTCATGGGAAGCCCAGGGCTGAGGCAGGGACGGATGGAAGCGCTGGGCGCCCACGGCCGCCGCCGAGGAAAGCGCTGGCTGTGCAGGTGCTGGGAAAGCCCCACCCCAAGACCGATAAATGAGGGTTCAGCATCGGGGCGGGAGGAGGCCGCAGCTGGGGCATCGCTGCACTTTCCAGCCTAGCCGGAACGGCTCCCAATCGGCCCGTGGAACCAGCCAGCAGGAGGGCGGTGCGCTCGTGGCTTCTGTCCGCCGGCAGGGCCGGGCCCTTAAGTGCCGGCTCCGGGAGAAACGGGCCGGAGATTCCCCGGTAGACGCGTCCCGGCCGCCACCGCGCCGGCGTATGGGCTCCCTGACATGGGCGGCCAGGCTTCCTCCCACCGGCGGAGCGCACGCCGTCAACCGCCGCGTCCTTGGAGCCCGTCCGGAGCGGGAGGCCCGCCGCAAAAAGGGCAAGGCGGCCGCGGGGGCCGGCGCTGCCCTCCCGCCCCGCCCGAACTCACCGTGCCGCCGTTGCTGCCCGCCGCTCCAGCCGGGGCCGTCCAGGGAGCGCTGGGCGGGCGGCCATTCAGCGAGGTGGGCCGGCCTCGGCGCAGCCGGCCTGCAGACCGAAGGGCGGCCCGGCGCGGAAGGCGGGTCGGGACGGGACGGGCGTGACTCAGGCCTCAGGAATGCGCCGGGCGGAGAAGCGGCTCCCTCCGCCCGCCAGCCTCGCCTCCGACCGGCGCCATCGCGGGAAGAAAAGTGCCGCGCTGGAGTTTGGCCAGGCGGGCGGCGGGAAAGGCCGGAGCTACCGGGTGGCGAGCTTCTCCCTCACCTTCCGTGCCTCGGACGCGGCCCTGGATCGCTGTCTGCTACCCTTCCGGCCTGGGCCAAAGCCGGAGGCCGCGACCTGCTTTCCGGGGCCCTTCTCGCCCGGGCGGCTAGACAGCTGCTGTCGGGGGGGGGTATAGGAGCCGCGCCTGCTGATCATTTGGGCCGGAGAAGGAAGCGGGGAAAGCCCCCTCCCCCGGCCCTCTTCACATTCAGGCAGCAGCCCCTGGGGTCCTTTGCTGGGGGATGCTGACAGAAAGCCGTGAATCCCCCTTTGTAACCAGCGCTGGCACTGCAGAGAAGGCCTAGCCGCCCAACAATGTCCCCATTGTAGGCATGCTGTCCCTTAAGGGTATTTGTGTGTGTGTGTGTCAATCTGTCCCCAAGGGGTGCAGCTTCAGCCTTTCTACCCCTGCTCCTCCCATCCCAAATGCTGAGCGCTTGGCTTTGGGGACACTTCATGGCCTTGGAGAGGAAGAAGGCTGCCAGGTCTCCAGCCCAGGGCTAGCTGAGCACCCAAGGATCCCGTAGCACCCTGCTTCCAACGGCTTGTCAAGAGGAGCAGAAAGCCAGGGCTTTTTTTGTAAAGCGGCAGTGGGGTCCAAAGCGAAAGGGAGGGAACTGGGGTGAAAGGACTCACACCTGCAGGCCTCCCCACCCTTCCCTTTGGGGAAAGCCGCAAGATGCAATGTTCTAAGAGGGCCAAAGAAACTATGAGCCACCAGGTAAGAAAAGGAAATTTGGCTTAATGTAGTTGATATCAACACCATTCCCTACACTGCCCAATACTTTTCTCAGGAAAGCCTGAATAATTTATTGAGAAATGGCCAATTTAGGGCACTCGAGTTTCCTGCAGTTTGGCATCCTGCAAAGTCTGGAATTGAAAAACCAAGTGAAACCCCTGCTTTCCTCTGGCTGGATTAGCCACGCCACCCAAGATGCCTCACCTTTCACTGGACTCCCAACAGCATCTGGCCTCTTTGGTCACTGCTCCTTGGAAGGCAGGCCTGAACCTTCAACCTCCAAGGAGCTATAAACTCGAGTGCAGCCTCTCCCCTGGCACCACAGCTTGGCTCTTCCCGAGTGTGATGGGATGCAAACGAGAGTCCTGTAACTTCTGCATGAGATTTCCCGCAGGTGAAAAGAACTGTCCAGGTTTCCTTCTGCAAGACAAGTAGGTACAGTAATCTGAGCCACACAAATTTGATCTGCAGGCGCAGCCTTTGAGCACCACCACTGCCTTGATATAAAATGTGTGCTTTTTCCCTTTGATCCTCTGCTGGTCCCTTTCATCTGCCTCAGTCTCCCGCTTGCACCAGCTAACAGGTAGCAATTGCAGTCAGGCCACGTCTGGTGTTTTCATTTTAAAGGTTTCTGACAGTCCATCCTGTCTTTTGCATGGTTTGCCACCACTTCCGATTATTGGTTGATATTTGATAAATTCATTTTGCAACTCCAACTCTAGCCTGGCTGTAAATTGTAAATGCCTGAATATCTCCCAACAGTTCCAGAATGCTTCCAGAGACAAAGGAAACAATGGGTGATTAACCAAACTATCCCAGGTAAAACATCAGTCTCCTTCCTCCCCCCCCCCCTTTGAGAATAGCAGGGCTGATGGGACCAGTGCCTGCTGGGAATTCCTTGGTAGCCAGCAAGGCTAGCCATGAGGTGGCATCCTGTACTATTTCCTGCAGCAGGAGACATTGAATCTGGCAGATTCCCTGGCAGAAGCCAGAGGGTCATTTTTAGACATCGATAACACCAAGCAGTTTCTTGCACCAATGGCAGAGGTTGAACCTCATGGAGCAGGTCTGACCCACACTGCAACAGGGGATGGGCCCCGCTGTGCAGCAAGCCCAGTCCGTCAGGCTTTTGGGCTACAGCTTCCTCTGCAGCTGTTGCTGGCTAAGAGCAAACATCCTTAATACTGAGCGGGCGCAGTTCTTGGGTCTGCAAAGGGAAACATTCCTGCAAGTGTTATGTTGAATGCTGTGATACAATTCATCTGATGCATAAATCACAACCACTGTGCCGCCTTCTGGATGAAGAAAATCAAAGGCATCAAGCTGAGGTTCTTTGTCCAAGGATGATAAAGTGCAGGGATGGAGGGCAGTTCTTGGAACATGGAGTAACTTAGGAAGAGGGTAGGAAGAGTTCCCCACCCCCAGATGTTCAAATATGGCTAGGATCTAATGGGAGTTATATTTAGCCCCCTTCCATGTCTTCCAACTTAACTGTCAGCCTAGGCAACAGCTGCTACTTTTCAGGGCTTTGAAAGCAGGCCGGCAGGCAGGCTGGCTCTAGGACTGCTACGTTTCCAAGTTTGTGTCAGCTATTTCTGATACATTGAGTGGTTGGGTTCCCTTCTTTCTTTACAGCATCCTGGAAGGAGAAAAAAAAAAACAGGTTTTGTACCTGGCTGTGCCTTCCAGCCATCCAATTTTCACAACTGACCTTTGTAAATGAACAGTTGTGGGGGGGGGGAGGAGAAGGGGGTCAGAAGAACTACCTGGTGCAGCTGGCTGGGGAGATAGCCATGGATGGCATGCCCGCTCCTAGCAAGGCTGTCCTAAGTTCAAACCCAGAGTGACCGCTGCACTGCCATGGAAAGGGAGGGGGTACTTGCTCACCACTTGATTAAGTGGGGTGGGCTTGTGCTGGCAGCTGCTGGGTGGATTTTACCTTGGCTGGGGGTTATTTGAAGTTGGCAGACAAAGCTGTGGTTCTGGGTGGGAAGTAGGACAATTCCACACTCCGGACAAACGTCACACTTGTGCCCAGAGAGCATCCTCATCCATCTGCTTGCCAAAGACATCTGTCCAGCCTGAACCTTCCTCACTGCGGTGTCCATTTTCTGAGCTACAGAGCACACTTAACTAGGGCCCGGCAGCTGCCGCTGGATTCACGGGGCAGATGAGGCTGAGGTGGGTTGTGGAAGTGTTGGTTCAGAAGACGGGGTGACTCTGCGGCTTTTTAGCCAACTGCCAGGATGGCTGTTTCTGATGGAAGTGGGCGGCTCTCAGCCCTTTACGGAAGGCTCTTGTCGGGTGAAGGGCCTTCGTAACCAGGAGGCCAAGAAACGGCACGAACGCTGCGCGGCTTCTTCCTTGTACAGAAAGCCTGGCGAGGAGAGTTTTAGGCGGCACCCCACCCTCCCCTCCCTCCTCGGACTTCCGTCCGCTCCTTCTAAAAAGTCTCCGGACTCATCCAAGGAAGTGGCTGGACGGGGCGTCCCTGGCTCCTGCACGCCCGGATGAGCCCGTCCGGCGTTCCCCGGCTTCAGCCGGCTGCCTCACACAACGCTCAGCCAGGGCCCGGCTCGAGTCTCAGTTTCCCTAGGAAGAACGCAAAGCCTCCGCATGGGGGCGCGGAGGAACTCCCGGGGCCTTTCCGGCGCTCCGCCTCGCCGCTGAGCTCGGCTTCCCGCTTCTATAGGCCAGACGCCGCTCAGCCAGCAGCCATGCTCGACGCGCCGAGGCCGCTTCATACCGAGGCGGCGCGGAAACCCGGCAGCGGCTCGCCAGCCCGCCTGGGCGCCGCCTACTTCGACCAGCCCTGCATCCCCCTGGCCAAAGCCCTGCTCGGACAGGTGAGCTCGTCGGCCGGGGGTGGAGGGACGACAGGCAGTTGCAAGGGCGCCCCTAGCCGGCCCGGTCAGCACGGGCCGCTCCTCTCCAGGAAGCGAGCCGCCCCAGTCGCTCTCCCGCCGGGCCAAAGGGCGTCGTGCGGGCCCTGGCAGTCAGGGCGACACACGGGGACCGGGAAGCACGCTGACGTCCGGCAGTCTCGACCGGCCTCCTTTCAGATTCTGGTTCGGAAACTGCCCGACGGACGCGAGCTGCGGGGACGGATCGTTGAAACAGAAGCCTATTTGGGAGGGGAGGACACCGCTTCGCACTCCAGGGGCGGTCGACGGACCCTAAGGAACGCAGCCATGTTCATGCGACCCGGCACGCTGTACGTGTACCAGATCTACGGGATCTACTACTGCATGAACGTCTCCAGCCAAGGTAAGCAGGCAGAAGCAGGTTTCGGCCAGAACCCCAAGCCCTTCCCTCTGACTCCAGCCCCCCCCCCTTTCGGTCATGGGGATGGCCAGCTCCCCTGACGGCTTCTCATTCCAGGGGGGAGGAAATTTTCTGCTCTGTGAATCAGCCCCTCACCCCTGCCCCGTTCAGACTGCATTAGCGCTGTTTTGCCCACCTTCTGCATAGGGGAAGGGGCTGCAGTCCTCCTGCGTTCCCTGGAGCCCCTGCAGGGGCTGGAGGCCATGCGAGAGCTGCGCCTGGTCCGGCAGCGGAAAGCTCCTGCACGCCCTCTCAAGGACTGGCATCTGTGCAATGGGCCCTCCAAACTCTGCCAGGCCCTGGCCATCGATCGGAGCTTTGACCAGCAGGACATGAGCTGCAACTCTTCCATGTGGCTGGAGCCTGGCCTGGAAGCTTCCAGAGACCAAGTCCCCATCTGTGCCCCCCGAATTGGCATCAGTGGGGAGTGGGCCCAGAAGCCTTTGCGCTTCTACCTCCAGGGCAACAAGTGTGTGAGCGTCATTGACAAAAATGCTGAGGGGAAACTGCCATGTGACGCCATCACAGAGAAATGTGTTTAACTTGCAATATGAGGCAGGCACGGATACTGATGCCAACGAAGGACTAGAAGTGCCATTTCAGATTTATTTATGTAAATAAACATGTTTTGCTCTCTTCCAAAGGAGCCAAATGCACAATGTAATCAGCAAGAAAGGAAATGCACGGCCCCATGCCCACTTTGCTAGAATAACCCCCTCCTCGCCCCAGGACAACCCCAGGACAATTGAGACGGCAGTGCCAGAATGATAGCAGGCACACCCATCAATGTTTCAGAGTATTCGTAGGGGGCAGGGTAAGTGGGCTATGAACCCACTGCTTAATGTGAGAATTCAGCCTGTGGCAGGAGAGAAGTCATTGGGCTCATCTCTGGGTCTCCATACTCTTCCTGTTTAAAAATTGAACAGCTTCTTTTCCACCTCCACAATTTGGGGCAGGAACCCACACTCTGCTGAGTCCCATCTCTGCAAGCCCTCCTTCCCTCCAAAGAAGGCTGCAGTCCCCAAGGTGACAAGAGTGCAAAACTGCCAGACTGCGACACCTGGAAGGGCACTCCTGTAATGTCCAGCAGGAGGTGCTTTCTAGGATCCGGGAGCAGGATCTGGCTTCGACCGACCGGGCTCCATCCTGGCCCCAAGCAAGCCTCCTCTCCTCACTTATGGAGGGATTGAAAGACAGAGATGACGGGATCCTCGTGGTTCGTCACCACCAGCACGCTGCGGAACTTGTCAAAGAGCATGAGCAGATGGGAGCGGCGCATGTTTTCGTTGTACATGATCTCCTCCAAGTGATGCCGTCCACGGAAATAGTGCAGCAGTCTGCAAAATGGGAGGGGGGAAAGAGGTGTGTTTCTGCCCTGCAGCCACAGCAAATGGCTAGCCACTTATGAGCCCAAAGCCTGAGATGCCTGCTCCCCAAGTGCCCACCCAGGAGGGGCGAGCTTGGCTCCAAACATCAAGCTTTCCCCCAGGGCTTCATGAAGACTGTACAAAGTCTAGGCTGATGGCCCCACTTTGGATAGCAGCCCAAAAGAGCAGGCCTTTTGCTCCGCAGCTACCTGGCAAACATGCGCAGATCATCTGGATTGTGAGCTGCAGGGACACTGAGAATGGCTTCCCGCTCATGCTCTGAGAGGCTGGTCAGGAGGTTCTCGGTCATGCGTTTGTTCACGGGAGACTCCCCCCCAGGCAACAGCTCTGCACTGGAGTTGTCCATGCTGGGACTTGTCAGGGTCATGTCATCACTGCTAGCTGTAAATAAACAAGCGTGTAAGCCCCCCCCCTTGCCCTGAAAAGCGGATCCTTTGCATAAAGGAAGGCCCCGTGGGGGAAGAGGAGGTGAGGCCCCCATGATGACGGTTGCCACCTTTTCCTTTCCTGCTGGGAAGACAGATACAACAGCGGGACTGAAGGGCAAGACAGCTTTCAAAAGACTGTTGGTAAAGTCCTACACTAGCAATAGCACTTAGATTTATATACCCCTTCATAGAGCTTTACAGCCCAATCTAAGCGGTTTACAGAGTCAGCCTACTGCCTCCAACAATCTGAGTCCTGATTTTACCAGGAAGGATGGAAGGCTGAGTCAACCTTCAACCAGTCAGGATCAAACTCCTGGCAGTGAGGAAAGTCAACCTGCATTCTAATCACTGCGCCACCATGGCTCTTCAGAGCTGGAAAAAACTATTCCTGTCTGTCTCTCTCTCTCTCTCACACACACACACACACACACACACAATTCTATCATACTGCCCTTTAGAAATAAGCAGGAAAGAACAGATATGAACCCAACTTGGCTATTTGTGAAACAACTCCATTAGGCATGAAATAGGGCTGAGTGTCTTTGGGCCACTCCCTCTCTCTCAGCTCAACTTCCACCGGGTAGTGGGGAAAATAGGAGGAAGGAGTATCACCTATGTTTACCACCTTGGTCTCTCTCTTTCATCCATCTATCTAATCTATCTTCCTCTTCCTCTCTGTATAGGACTTGAAACCCAGAAGTCAACCACTGTTCCCCTGGCTGGGCTGAGCTCTGGGGAAAAGAGGGCTGCCACTTACTGGGAGAACCAAAACTGAGTGCGCTAGGAGTGCTGAGGCTTCGGCCCCCAACTCGGGCAGGAAAGGGCAGCTCTTCTACTCTGGTGCGAAAACCCTCCTCCTCCTCCTCCTCTTCCTCCTCCTCCTCCTTTGGGGGAACCATTAGGCAGGCATAGCTGTGCAGCTGAATGAGAAGCCGATGCTGGAGCATCCAGGCCACCATCCGAATGAGATGTGTCTGGAAGAAAAGCAGAGCCCATCAGAGCGGCCTAAGATCTTGGGCGTTAAAGCATCTCAACCACCCTGAGGGTTGAGAAGTTCGGGAGGGAGGATGAGCTGGAACTTGCCTCCTGAATCGCTGGAGCAAGAGGGTCCTTCAGCTCAGACAGAGAAACTGGCCAGGAGAACTTGGACAGAACTGCAGGCAGGTCATGGCCTGGAAACTGAGAGGAGAACTCCTCTGCCAGAGGGGAATAACTGCAGAAGGGAAGGGAAAGGAAGGGAGTGAGCAGGCTGTCCTTCTCCGCTGTTCCTATCTGGCCTCTCGGTGCCCTGAGTCAACCTCATCAGCACCTGTGAAGCCTAAGAGACAGAAGCTGACACACAAAGCCATCCCTGCAGCAGAAAGAACAAGCTGAGCAACTCACAGACAGACACTGGCGTTGGGAGACAGCATGTAGACGTTGTTCTCACACAGGGGATAGACCATGAGGGCCTTGCCCCAGTAGACCAGATGTGCAGCCAGCTGAAACACCTGCCACAAAAGAGAAAGCACCCATTGGGGCAATTCAGCAGCACCTCCAGGTAGGCCAGGCTGGGCTAAACCAACGTGGCACCGAGCTCCCTCCCCAAGGAGAAGAGCAATAGCACTTAGACTTATATACCCCTTCATAGTGCTTTTACAGACATCTCTAAGCAGTTTGTAAAAGCCTCATATTGCCCCCAACAATCTGGGTCCTCATTTACTCACCTTGGAAGGACGGAAGGCTGAGTCAACCTTGAGCTGGTGAGATTTGAACTGCAGCTAGCAGTCAGCTAAAGTAGCCTGCAGTGCTGCACTCTAACCACTGCGCCACTTCAGCATAAGCAGAAGAGAACAGCTAGTTCTCTTCTGCTTAGGCAGATCACATTAAGAAAACACAGAGCCTGGCAGCCAGAGGAGAAAGCGCCCATTCCCCTACTGCGGGTTGAGATCAGGGGCATAGCTTTCGTTTATAAAGAGGGCCCCCGAATCCCAGCTACTGGGAAGCAGGGGGAGGAGAGATTCACTGCCCTCAAGCTTAGCCTGTGTGTGCAATAAGGGGAGGTGACCCATTCGGATCCCACAGGGCCTGATCCAGCTGGCTGGCTCTTCTGGTCCTCTTAGAGGCAAGGTACAAGTAGGCAGAAGGATGCGCTGCACCTAATACAAAGGTGGGCTTTAATGCCTCAGTTGTTGCACTGGAAAAGATCTTCCCTCCCCCACAACCTTTCCTTGGGAGTTCTCACTGTCTGCTTAGGGGTCAACTCGGCTCCTGTGTTTTGGAAGAGGAGGTCCACCTGTGGTCTATGATGTAGCAGATGTATCAAAAAGCTACATTTGGAGCCCCCCATGAGCTCACCTGGAGCAAGGCCAGGTCGGCATCCTGAGCCAGCTGCTGAAGGTTCTTCACAGCAGAGGCTGTCTTGATCACTCGCACCAGGGCAGGGGAGCAGTCGAGGGGCAGTTCACTGAGGAGGGGCTTCTCATCTTTAAGCAGCAATAAGGCATGGTAAGGCCTGCAGAGGGACAGCAAAACAGGGCCGGGGGAGTTAGGATAACCTATAATGGCTGGGGAAAAGCTCTTGGATTAACTTGTACAATTTCTCTATTTCACAAGACTTAAGACAGGTGTAAAAACCTCGGTGTAACAGAATTGGTGACTGATTCCTTAAAAACCAGAGCAGCTGAATGCGTAATGTGAGAAAAGTAATTTTCATAGGATTTATGAAAAAAAATTACAACACCTTCAGGGGGAAGATGGGAGGCCTATAAATTTTATAAATAGATATACAAATAAATGAATAAATAAATAACAAACTCAGTTCTCCAGGTGAACTAGAATGAGAGCCTCCCTTACACCACACAAGTTGAACATCATACAATTAAACCCTGTTTGGCAGAAGTCCTGGGTGTGAGTTTGGTGAATGAGTAGCTGAGAAGCTAAATGTTGGTAGACGAGGTAAAAAGACTGTGTGGTTCAGACTGAGCATGTGAGATGCATGAAGTGAAAACATTTTGAGCACCGCCATAAGTGTATGGGGATGATGCCTGTACAATTAAGTAGCTGGTGATCGAAGAACAAAATGTTTCCTAAAGATTTATCTTTGGGCTTGCAAACCATGAGATCATGAAGAAAAATGGGGCAAATAAAGTATGGAAATGAGACAGATGAGTAGGCCATGAATTCTCAAGTCCTATCTCAAGTCTAACTATTCATCTTTCAAAATTCCGAACATTCTTGCCCACAGTTGCCAAATTTCAGACACACATTTTCAGCTCCCAAGCAGGCTTAACCTCATCTACAGCCCAAGAGGCCTGACTGAGGCAAGAAAAGATTCTAAACCAAATTGCACTCAGAGCAAAATAAAATAATAAATGTATTAGCAATAAAACCCTGTCTCACCGAATAGCCTTCAAACTTCTTTCAATGGCTTCTGGAGGGATGAAACTGGATGCCACATCATGGATTTTATGAGGCAGGCAGAAACTCACTTCCAGCCAGTTATTGATCTGTAGTTGGACCAACCCTGTTGTGCACAGACTGAAGGGAAAGAGAGAAGTATCAGGAGGTTCAGGGATCAGCCTTTTTGCAAAATGTTCTCCAAGGTCCCCTCCACCCTTTACCTTCAGCAATTCTTGACATTTGACTCAATAATACAGTATTTCCTTTTACTGCCACCTGCTGGCCACCAACGAGCTAGTAAACAGTTCCTTGTTCAACCTAGAGGAAAGCTGCTGCCCACCAGGTGGAGCTGACCAGCTGTCTCAGAGTGCCATCTGACTGACCTCCCCAGGAAGGTGTGCTCTGCTGTTGGGCATCAGAAGAGAAGGAAAGCAATAGGCAGGAGGAGCAGAACTAGCCTGAAACCAGCCCAGGGAGGGGAACTAAGGCTCACAATGCCTATTTTCATGGAGGGAGGGGGGCATGAGAGTATGGAGCCTCCAAAGAATTTACAAGGTATCAAAGGGAAGAGAGAGCCTGGCCTGCTTTGTGCAGGTTTCCCTCTCAAGGAAGCAGTGCATTGACAAGCAGAGAAGCAAGAAGGGACTTCAGGTTCTAGACCTGATAGTGATAGTTTTCAAAAGGAAAGCAGCCAGTTAAATTTAGATAATTCTTGATATTATGAGATGAATTGATCTCTATCTTCTTTAATCTCCCAATTCTAAACCGAGAGGTAATGTTTCACATAAGCCTTGCCCCAACGGAGAATAAAAGATAAGGGGAAGTCGGCTAAGCATCCAATATCCTGAAGGTTTCGTTCCAATTGCCTTGTGTGTTTTGGGGGGGGGGAGGAGCTACAGAATCGGACTCTTCCTGTCTTGCAGTGAGTCTCCCCCCCCGGGCTCCCCTATTTTGGGATGAGGCTGTCCTCTCCTACACCATGACAAGGGCACCATGACAAGGCCTATGGCTCTGTAAGGAAGCGGCTGGTGCAACCTCCGGAGACAGCAACCTTCCAAGAACTGCTGATGGGGGAGTGGGGTGGCAAGGATATTATTACCTGTCGTAAGCCTCTTTAAGATCTCTGGCCAACTTGCATTTGGGAAGGATGTGAGGGAAAGGCGACTGAGGGCCATCCCTTGCTGTGGAGGGAAAAAGTAATTTTGGAGCAGCTGACGCTCCGGAGGACCCAACCTCAGGCTCCTGCCCTCTTCCCAACCATTCATTCTTGGGATATACCTGATGCTGGACTTTATTATTGACCTAATTAATTCATCAAATGTGTATAGCTGCCCATCTCACAAAGACTGAAATGTGCTACTTTGTGTCATCCTGGCTAGCAGTTCCAACCGTTGACTGCATAGCAAACGTCAGCCAGTCCAGCCTGGACTATTGAGGAGGTCAAGTGAGGGGGCATAAAACAGCCTTCCTTGGACACCGATCCTCAGCCTCCCAAGTGGATGAGACCATAAACTGCTTGCAACTTACTTTCTGACATGGCTGAAACTTCATCTTGAATGGCCAGAATGAGTTTGGCCTCCCTGGTGAGATACTGGCAGCGTCTCTCTTCATGCTGAAGCACAATGGCGATGCGCCGGGAAAGGTTATGCAGGCAGCTGATCACGGAGGGGTCTGCAGTGGCCTGCAGACAGAAGCAGAAATCGTCCATCAAGGGTGGCCTTGCAGGCCAGATGACCTGGAGGAAGGAAGCGGCACCCACCTGGGGCCAACCCAGCCATTCTTTCCCCTCCGGCCATCCAGCAGCAGAAGGCTGCTTCCCACTGAAAGCATCAGGATAACAAGAGCTGCTACCACAAAATGTGTGAACCAGTGGTAGCATCCCTTCAGCTACTCTTATTTGGACAAAACATCTCAGTCACACACACATACGCACACACCAGCATCTTCCTCTGGCCTTCTCCTGAGCCCAAATAGTTCCTTCCCATTTAGAGATGTCCTAATGTGAGGACAGAGGGGCAGGCTCACTGCCCTGGAGCAAACCATCCTCCAACCCTCAGTCTGAGCCTTGCAGAGCCTTTGGCTAGAATAGGTTACATGACAACCTGATGAAGCACAAACCCTGGAATTTCTCCGTCACATCTTGCACAAGTGCCCACCTTGCATAGCCCAGAGAGGCTGCTTAAACCACTCTGAATCAGGGAGAAGGCAGGAGTCCAGCTGTTATCAGCCACACCCAGCTGAACAAGCGGGGGCCCAGAGTAGCCAAAGTGGACAAACCAGCTGTTTAAGGCCTGTTAAGGAAATGGAATGGAGGGCAGTGATAACGTGTGCCACCCAAAGTCGCAAACCATGACTTGGCACTACGAAATGAGCCACATTTTTGCTGAGTCACAGCAGGGGGCTAAACTTCAAGCTTCACTGCAACTGCCTCCCTATTGATAACACCTTGGGCCTTTGCCTGTCCAGCTGCCACTAGCAGATGGGCCCCACCTTGGAGCTGGAGTGCTAAGCAGAGCTGCAAAGCCATAAGTCCCGAGAGAAGTCCAGACCAGCCGAGGTGGGGGAAGGGTGCTGCCTTTGCTAATAAAGGCCAAAGAGATGACCAAGAACACCTAACCCATGCGAGGGCTCTACAGCTGGTTGTCTAACAGCACTGTTAGGTAGTATTACTTCCCAGGCAATCTTACCCTTAAAGCAAAGACCACATTGAAGAGAATCATGGTGGGCATTTCCCTCTTGGGAGAAGGATCTGTCTTTGATACCTGCACAGCAAAAGAGGACACTCAGGAAGTGTAAAAACGAGCAGATCCAGGAAGGGTGGTTGAGTGAGGCGGTACATAAAAGGCAGATTTGTTCTTGGTATGTTGAGATCTGGGGAAGGAATCCCCTCTCTTGGCCTCAGTGAGGTCACCTGGCCTGAAGGTCACGTATTTAAGAAGAGCAGGCATAAACTAGAGCATATCCAGGTTAAGGAGACCAAAGTGAGGAAGTCTCAGAAAAAGAAATTCTGCGTGGGCTGGGAGAAAGAGGGCAGGAGCTGAAGTCGTCCAATGGCTGAAGGAAGCTGCGCGGAATACACACCAAACCTTTTTCCTTGGATTAAACAAATAACAGAGCCGTGTGGCATTAAAACAGTCTATCTTGGGGAAGCAGCGGAGTGGCTCTATTTAGGCAGAGACTGGGGGCAGGGGCTTAGGTGGGGGAATAATTTTCCAGCCATGGCATTTCTCGATCAGCAGGGGTCCTGAGGGCACCACAAGTTTACAGACTCACACAGCACACCCCACAATTGTATCCGCTTTCCAAAGTTTCCAATGAATAAACATAGGTTAACTGGGGGAAGGGGGGGCTCTCTTGGTGTGTTGTGACCATCTTCACTAGCAACTCTGGAATGAATGGCAGGGCAGCTCTTGTCCCTCCAGAAGGATGTTCAAGAGAAAATAAGAGGAATCTCAGCAGAGGTACAATTCTGAGAATTTAAAATCAGGAACATGGGAAATAATATTTCAAATTAGTCATCCCATTAACCTATAGGGAATCCAAATTTTCTAAATTGAAGGAAGAATGAGTAACATAGCAAAGAAATATGAATTGTTACTTCTTGAAGGAATTACATGACTCTACATGATGGAGCAAAAAAGCCCAAAATGGCCTGTCAGGAGGAAGGCCTCAGCAAAAGGCCTGGTTAATGGTTTAGCCCCATTCCTTGGATTCACACAGTACATTTAAACAATGAACTAACCTAACAGAATAAACCACAAAGAACAACCCATTAAAATATTTGCAATTTCATCTGCTAAATCTTCTACTAATCTAGTTAAGAGTGCTGCATGAACACCAACCATGTTTAGAGATACAATTGCCATTCCTAGGGAAGATTCAAAAGTTAAATTGCTGGTGCCCATTAAAATTTGGGCTGATCAAGAAATCCTTATATAGCATACTCCCAATTTTGAATCTCATTTTACAATGGAGGAGAAAAATCTTCACAGGGAAGACTAGCCACAAAAACAGCTGAAATGGACTCTTTCTAGTATCAGCTTCAGCGAGGAATATGGGAAGCAGAGTCTGAGTTTGAGATCCTAGCCACTGGATTTTGCAGGTGGTTCCAAGCTGAGAAGGAGGCAAGAATAGAAATTCAGCAATAACTGGAAGGAGCCTCAAAGTTCCAGCTATTGCAATGGTGTTTTGGATCTGTGACATACCTGGCCAAAGGCATGCTGCAACAGAGTTGGGTGCCCAACAAAACGAATATTATCGATCTTCAGCTCAAACTTTTTGCCACACATGTCTGATTTAGTAGCCAGAATTGTTGCCAGAATGACATCTGAAAACCTTCAAAGCATAAGAGAAACAGGTATGACTGTGTTTATGGTGACCTAAAGGAATCCCAAAGCCAGGTACCATTTTTATTCAACATTAAATATTATTCTGTAAGCATTCTATAAACACTAGGACCCATTTGAATGCCATTAATTTGTCCAAATTGTATATTTAGAATCATCAGAATTACTGAAAGGAAAGCATCGCAGCCAACAATGGGACAGTCATGCAAAACTCTCAGAAAGAAGTGAAGAGGTTAGGAGGGGTCCCTTCTGTTGGAGGGTCTAAGCAGAGAAGTTGAAGCAGTTGAAGCAGATTCCCAAGTACAAGCTGTTCCTGAGCTGGGTTATAAAGGCTCCCAAAGTCAAGGAATACCTGCTCAGAGCAGTAAAAACATTTTTCTCTCCTACTCCCATTCTCTGTTTGCTCCATAAACTCCTGTCATGTAGCCTCTTATCTCTGCATGATCTAAAGTTTTCTGCTTTGTGAGGAAAGATGCAGCCTCTTTCAAAGTGCCAGTGCCCCAGAGGACCCAACCGGATAAACCAAGGAGATTAAAGTCATCTAACATGGAGGTCTGCAGGCTGGCCAGGATCACAGGCCTCAGAGCACCTGCAACACCAGGTTGTCTGCAGCTTACTCAAGCTTTAAAGGGCTGGTGACAATGGAATTGCAGCCCTCTGGGCAGAAACACATCTTCTAGCTCTGAGCTTGCTTCTGCGTTTTCACATTTAAACTTTTAGTCACAACTCCCTTTTCCCCCACCCCACTGCTGGTCAGGGGTAGTTGCCATACAAAGGCTTCTCCCCTGTGACTACAGAGAGATGTTGCATTGTTCTGCTGTGAGGGCTGCGGCCCAGAGAGTTATCAGCTTATCAGCCCTCCCAGAAGGCAGCAGCAGTTAAGGCAGAATAGTGGCTTTGCAATCTTTCCCACCAGAGACCTGGCAATTGAAGTTTGAACTCTTATTTGGATTAAAACCAAAAGTAGTTCTACAAGATGTTCTCCTCAAGACAGAATGGAAATCCCAATGGTTCTGTATGTGGAAAAAATGGAATGAAAAAATCAAATTCGTGAAACTGTTCATATCCAGTCTGTGAAAATCTCTCCCTTTGCTCTGTTCTAGCAACAGAAAATTCCAAAATTTTGTTCTTGAAAAAGTGGAACTTCCTGACAAGTCTCCTCATCTCCCTATCTTCCCATGATGGTTACACCCTGGCTAAGCATTTGATTTTAGCCAAGCACCCTGGGTGAACTTAAAAAACTGTGAGCGTTTCTTTGGAAGACCAGCTTCCTAGAGGCACTTTTGTAGCTCATTGGTTTGTTAAGGGCCTCTGGGATATTGCTGCAAAAGTCCTGGTTTTATTTATTTATTTAATTTATTAGTTCAATTTATATGCTGCCCTCCTCTGAAGACTCAGGGCAGCTTACAATGCACTTATAGCAATAGCCTTCATTCTTTTGTATATACCTGCTTATATATACCTGCTTATTAGGGCTTTTGGCCCCCCATAAGCGGTGTTTCTATAAAGTCAGCTTATTGCCCCCACAACCCGGGTCCTCAATTTACCTACCTCGGAAAGATGGAAGGCTGAGTCAACCTTGAGTCTGGTGAGATTTGAACTCGCATTAATTGCAGGCAGCTGGCAGCTAAGTGCTATATAACAGCACTTAGTCCGCTGCACCACCAAGGCTCCAAACAGTGTTTGGAGACCCTTGTTTCAATAATGCTGCCACCTACCTCTATGTTCATTAGAAGAGCATACTTCTTATGCAAATAAATGTCCTCAGGGTAAATAACAACCTTATCTGACCTTTTAGCAGCTTCTACTTCTACAATTAAAGAGAACTTCTCCTATGAATCCTTCAGGAGTTCCTACCTCTCTCTGTAAGAAAGGGGCTCTGAAAGAGATTCAAAGCCTTTAGCTGCCCCCCTACCTCCTATGCAGCTTCAGCTTTTCTTTTTGACCCACTTTTTCTGGCCGCAACTTAAGTTACGCTGAGTCTTAGGAAAAGATTTAGACCAGTACAAAACCACACAACTAGGGCAAATACATTTCCTGACTAAGCAGGGGATGGATTAGAAGACCTCCAAGGTCCCTTCCAACTGTTATTCTATTCTGTTCTGTTCTGTTCTGTTCTGTTGTTCTATTCTATTCTATTCTATTCTATTCTATTCTATTCTATTCTATTCTATTCTATTCTATTCTATTCTATTCTTTATTTTCTATTCTATTCTATTCTATTTTATTTTTTATTCTAGTCTATTCTATTTTCTATTCTATTCTATTCTATTCTATTCTATTCTATTCTATTCTATTCTATTCTATTCTATTCTATATTACCTTCTCTTCTCTCCTCTTCTCATTCTATTCTATTCATTTATTGCAATCCTCCTCATTCTAGTGTTACACTAACTAGAAATTCTAAAACCTGTAATGTAATATGGTTAAGGGAGAGCAGATTGGAAAAGAACATAATAGCTCGAATGTGGAGTAGCCTCAATACTCTATAATTCAAAGTATTATTATTACTCTGCATCCTAAAAACTAGAGAGGAGCCAGCTGTTAAATGCTACATGCAAATGCCTTCACAGATAAAAATGACATATTGCCTCTATGGTGCAAAAGCAGTTATAGTCAATTGCAAAGTGCCGAATGGTGCGCCAGTCTTAGCTTTGACCTCATACACTCCAATCAACTGAGTCAGCTTCTTGGTCCACCTAATCCAGACTTGTCTCCACTGAGGGTAGACAGGCAGCCAGAGAGGAAACCCAAAGCTGTTCTGCATGCAAAACACATGCTCTGCCACAATGCTGCAGTTCTCTTTCTAGACTGGCTCCTCCTTTAAGTTTCTTACAAGTTCGTCCATCTCATCTGCACTCCACTATCGTTCCACTCATTTTCAGCATATTTCAAGACAGAAATTAGAAACACAATACAAGAAGATGATAGTAAAAAAAGAAAAGCCATTGGAGACAGATGAATTTGTTCTTACCCTGACACCACCTGCTCATCAGTGAGAGGACAGGGCTCTCTGAAAATAGGAACAGGGGCCATAAGCACCACTCAGAAACAAAACTGGAGAATCAACCAGACAAAAATCACACAAGGCACACTATTCACACACTTATAAAATGTGACAATGGAATCCTGCCAGTCTTTACTTACAAATAAATGTTTCTAAAGTAAAATGAAAAAAATTAAACTAATGTACACCACACCACCACTACCCATGTACATTGATGGCTTAAGTGGGAAGGAAGAAAGAGTCTTCAATGGCTGTTCCTAGTGCAGCAGGGACCATGGGCTTCCCCCAAAGAGACAGCAGAATGGGCAGGCAGGACAGAGCATGCAGGAATGTCTCAAGGCCGCTGGAATAAGAAATCTGGGCTCCAGGGGCTCAGCCGGCCCTTCCTTCGTGGCCTGCTACTGCGCAAACCATTCAGGGCATCCCATAGTTTAGACTTATTTTTCCAAAACTTGTGCCATTTCTTCACCACCTGATCAAGTGGAGCTCCTTTCCTTTCAGGTCACAGAAAGCAGCCGCTTCCAACCTTCTATACTATGGAGACTCAATGGAGCATTTTTTTCTATTCCTGAATTCTGCTACAGCAGAAGAAACCTACGCATTGTACTACATGAGAACCATTAAATTATACTGGCTACCTCCTCAGCAGTTCTGGACAACAGAGAACACAGTTCAGGACCAGAGTGGGACCTGCAACTGTTCTTGTAATCGCAAACAAACCCCAGATGCTTTGGTTCATATCAACTAGCTAAGGACCAAGAGAGGGCTAGATCCAGCTTCCATGCAGCTTTTCTTGAAATTTCCCCAGCTTCAATTCCACAGGCTGAATAAAAAGCCAGGGAAAATCAGTGTCTCTTGGCAAATGGGAATTCAGGAGCTTTCTTCCCCCTGTCAGGCCTACCAGCAGGGAAGAGTTGTCTCCTCCCATTGCTAATAGCAGAGGAGCAAAAAATGTAAAGATCATTCACTGGGATAACTGTGATTATTAAACAGTACAAGAGTTGGATAGAATATTTTTATGTTTTCTTCAAAACCATGACATTCAAAAACCCCTTCACAAAAAGAATTGAGCTCAATTTTGCCAACCAAAATGCCCATGAGTAGGAGATCTGCAAAAAAGAACCAAGGAAATGCATACCTGGAATCTCCATCTGGATCTTCTACATTGTCACCAATACTGTTTACTGCATATCTACTCCTTGAGGTTCCTAAAAAAAATTGAGTAGGGGGAAACTTCAAGCCTGAAGACATTACTCACTGTCCCATTCACACAGCACATTTTGCATGATGATGGGGAGAGAGGCAGCATGTTTTATGGAAATCCTAGCATCTTCCTCAGACAACTAGGCTTAGGACCTGGTTATTTGCGGGACTGCCTGCTACCACCAATAGCCTCCCACCAACCAGTACGCTCCCATAGAGAGGGGCTCCTCCGGGTGCTGTCGACCAAACAATGTCGACTGGCGGCCCCCAGGGGGAGAGCCTTCTCTGTGGGGGCACCTACTGTCTGGAACGAGCTCCCCCCGGAGATACGGAGGATCCCGGATCTGCGTACCTTCCATCGCGCGCTCAAAACGTTCTTATTTCATCAAGCTGGCCTGACCTAAGTTTTTCCCCTTTTTAAATGGAAATTTTAAATTTGGTCTTAAATTATTGGGGTTTAAAATTTTCAGCCAAATTATTTAATTTGTTTTACTTTATTTTAAATTTTGTATTCATATGTTTTATTCCATGGCTGTTCACCACCCTGAGTCCTTCGGGAGTAGGGCGGTATACAAATTGAAATAATAAATAAAATAATAAATAAAACTAACCCAGAGGCATGTTTTGTGTAAGCTAAGTATCTCAGCATTCTAGTGATCAGTTAAGCTCACCCTTTCTATTTTTTTTCAGTCGCTGACCATAGTTACTTTCCCATCTTTCATTAATAAGTCATCTGATGGCTGTAGCCAGGGGGACCTTTTGTCAGGTTCGCCTGATTCGCCAGTTGCGACCCTTTCTTGATCGGGATTCCATGTGCACAGTCACTCATGCCCTCGTCACCTCTTGCCTGGACTACTGCAATGCTCTCTACATGGGGCTCCCCTTGAAGAGCACCCGGAGGCTCCAACTGGTCCAGAAAGCGGCCGCGCGGGTAATTACGGGAGCTGCATGGCGCTCCCACATAACACCGCGCCTGCGCGAGCTGCACTGGCTCCCAGTGGTCTTCCGGGTGCGCTTCAAAGTGTTGGTTACCACCTTTAAAGCGCTCCATGGCATAGGACCTAGTTATCTTTGAGACCACCTGCTGCTACCGACAACCTCCCATCGACCTGTGCGCTCCCAAAGAGAGGGCCTCCTCGGGGTGCCATCAGCCAAACAATGTAGGCTGGTGACCCTCAGGGGGAGGGCCTTCTCTGTGGGGGCACCTACCCTATGGAACCAGCTGCCCCCAGAGATAAGGAGAATCCAAGACCTCAGTGCCTTCCACCGTGCCCTTAGAACTTTTTTTTCAGCAAGCCGGGCTGGCTTAACATATTTTTAAACATTTTTAATTCATTTGTCATTTTAAACTGGGGCCAAATTAATATATATTCTTTTAATTGTTTTTAATGTTTGTATTGTATGTTTTTATCTGGCTGTACACTGCCCTGAGTCCCTCGGGAGAAGGTGCGGTATATAAATTTGAAATAAAATTTAAAAAATAAATAAATCTGACATTTAGGAAGTTTCCCAAACAGCAAAGTCACAGGAACTGACATGTAAAAAAGCCAATTGACCATGGACTGATCAAAAACATGAACATGACACCATGTTGAGGAATTGATGTAGAGGCCTTTGCTCCAGGTTGCCTGTGCCTGCCCAGAAAGACAGCCAGGAAAACCGTCTGATCTTGAAAGCCCTGAACGGGTGATGTCCCCATGCGACCCCCTCACAGAGGAAGCACTGAGTTCAACTATGAAATCAAGAGAAACCATGGCCGAACGTGAACGGGGCCGCTTCCCTGTCTTCGGTGAGGAGGCAGAGCTGCAGACGGCGCCCACCCAGGTGGGAAAAGCGATGCCCAACCCACTTGGACAGGTGGAAGGTCAACTGGACCAGCTGCCGGGGAAAAGGGGGGCCCGGGGAGAGGGGGCAAAGGGGGGGGGGCGGTCATCCGAGCGGCCGGAGCACAGCGAGACCGCCCGGCGGCGAAAGGGCGAGGGCGCCGGGTCGCCATAGCAACGGCGGCGGCCAGGCCTTCCGGGGCGGGGCGCCGGCCGCCCACCACGCGCGCGCCAGTTCCTCACCGATCAGGGCGGCCGGGTTGCCGGGGCCTCGCTGGAAAGGGAAGCGGAAGAGCAGCTTGTTGCCCCGGCTGCCGGAGCTCACCAGGATGACGCTGACGGGGCTCGAGGTGTCCCCCATGCTGCTGCTGCTGCTGCCGCTGCTCTCGCCCGCGAAAGGGTAGAGGGCCCATTGCCCTTTGACACCCGGGCGCGGCGCCTGCGCGGTCGCCACCCTCTCCTGCCAGCTGCTTGTCGTCACTTCCGTTTGTCTTCCGGTAGCGGGACGGACTCCTTCAATTTGCCGCCTAGGCGAAGGTCGGGGATGATGGGCATTGAAGTCCCACCACTTCCCTCCCCGCCCACCCCCGTGCTTGGCCGGGGCCTGGCTCACCAGCCGCGGAAGCCGCGGGGCACGCCAGAAACGGGGAAGCCCCTGCGTCGGCAGCCTTCCCGTAAGCAGGCGGCACCTCGGCTAAGGCATCCGGGCGGGCTCTGCGCCCCGCCTCGGCTTGGCAAGCGGACGATAAGGCCGTAGAGGCGCCCTGGCTTTGGAGAGATACGGCCGCCCGCCCTACTGTCTCCAAGCGGGGGCGGCGTGGCCGTGCCTTCCGAACGGAGGGCAAGGAGACCCCACCCTGCGGCCCAGAAAGAAGAGCTGGGAGAAGATGTGCTCTTTTCAAAACATTGATTTAGCCCCAACTGACAGAAAAAAGACATATACGTATTTTAAAAATACTATGCAACGTTAAAAATAATTTTTATTTTTTATTTATTTAATTTATTTGTCAAACACGTAAGATAACATATAAGTATAAACATGATTATGAATACAGGATAAGGATACCAATAAAAGGAGACAGTAAGACAGGGACGGTGGCCACGTTGGTGCTCTGCACGACCTTTCCAGACCTCTTAGGAATGGGGTGAGGTCAACAGTAGACAGTCTAAGGTTAAAGTTTTGGAGGTTTGGGGATGTAACCACAGTCAGGTAGTGCATTCCAAGCATTGACCACTCTGCTGCTGAAGTTGTATTTTCTGCAATGGAGTTTGGAGTGGTTTACCTTAAGTTTGTATCTATTGTGTGCTCGTGTATTATTGCGGTTGAAACTGAAGTAGTCATTGACAGGTAGGACATAGTTAATTTTGTGTACTATGCTTAGGTGAGACCGAAGGCGGTGTAGTTCTAAGTTAATTATATTATTAATTATATATAATTAATATATTAATATTATTAATAATAAATGGCCTGGGAAAATTAATTATAAACAGAGCTCCCAAATATTGATCAAATTACTTAAAGATCTAACCCTTTTACTGGAAAAAAAAATATCATATTACCAATCAAGTGTATTACCAATCCTTCCAGTATTTTTTCATTTCATCTGGTAAAAATCATCCAACCTTGCTTTACATTTTTTTAAGTACAGGAACCGACAAACTACGTACAAAGCGTTAACAGGAGAGGAGTTCAGTGTCACTAATAAATCTGATTTTCACTTGCTTTACCATGATTTGGGAGTTTGGGAGTCCCATGGTTAATCAAGCAGTTTGGCGGGGAGGAGCACAGCAGTAAAATGAGAAAAGAGCAAAAGATATTCCCATATATCTGCCCAAAATTTCAGATTTTGCCTTTTTGTGCTGAAAGCAATAATGCTTGGCTGGAGCCTCCTATGTGCTTGCTAACTGCAAATTTAAAAATGTTACTAAGTTAGGAGGAGAGGCTACCAGCAGGGTAGAATGCAGCCTTTTGCCTGGAACCCAAATTCTCTGGCTTCACTGGTATTTTATTCAACAGAACGGGAACTCCCAGCACATTTTTGTTTGTTTGTTTGCTTTGTTCTCTGTTCCTAGTGTCTTCACATCCCAATTTCATGGTGCTGCAGGGAGGCTTCTGCTCTTACTTATGCATGCACATGGACACACAGGCGCGCACACATGCACACACACATTTATCCCAAATACTCAAGCAGAATCCAAGGTTGGCATGACAAATTAACTCTCCATTAAATGTTTGGAGAAATGGGATGGCTCGTCTCAAGATGCAGTCCTGCAAGGCATTGAAGTTGCATGGCCACAAAGTTGCTCCAGTCAACCAATGCAATTGGGCTAGGTCTTTGTGTCAGCCATGCCCAGTGGGAAACAAATCTCTGTGTTTCCCATTGTCACGAAGAGCAGGAAGGCTCTGTGGAGGCATTTTTTTTCTGTGGATGGGGGAGAAGGACATCCATGAGACAGCAGCCTCAGCCTGGCTTGTCCTTTTCCCCTCACTAATGGCTGCCTTCTAGTAGAAGCGAAACCTCTTCAAAGAAAAAAACCAATTGCCTCCTGAAAATGCACCTTTAGGACAGGAGACTGAGTTCTAGACCTGACTTAGGCACGAAAACCAGTTATTGATTTTAGGCCAGTCACTTGCACTCAGCCCAACCCACTTCATAGGGTTGTTGGGAAAATAGGAGGGAGGAATATTAGGTATGTTTGCCACTTCAAGTCATTTATAAACAATAAAAACGGGATAAAAATCTAAAATACAAAATATGCCCTAGAGGTAAGTAAGAGCTTAAAAATATTAAATATTCAATTTAGTTTGTAGGACATTAACAGGTAGGCTGCTTTTCCCGCACGTCCTATTGTTCAGTAGATTTTTAGATGGACCCAGGCTTTCTTTTTTGCCTGTCCAGGTAGGTTGGGAAAGAAAGGCCAAGGCCAAGCCACTGCCTAACCCAGATTAGCGTGCAAACTCTAAAAATCTTACTTTCATGCATATAGGAAGCCAGGATTCAGCCAAACTATGTTATTTAGCACATTGGGGGGGGGGGGGTTGTAAACTCAGCCACCTGTGGTTAAGTAATGGTTGTTAAGAAGCCAAGACTTAGCATACTGACTTTTACTTGTTTATTTACTTCTGGACGCATTAGACCCCTCAGTACAGTACCTGAGCTGTAAAGCAGGACCACTTTGGGCAATCATAATATTAGTTGGTGAAGGGGAACAATATTCTGGATGCCTATATTCTGTTTATCTTGTTTCACTGTTCTTTTTTATTTTCTAAAGTGCCCAGTCAGGTGGAATCACCCACTGTTTAAATCTTTAGGCCCTCTGAGGGGAGCCCGGTGTGATTGATGGGCAGGGGCTTTTCTTCCAAGCACAGCTGTGTCAGGATTGAGACTGGACTTCTGGGCTTCCCTCCAGGTCAGGAGCGCTTTTCCTTCCCATCCTAACGGCCCTCGTGTCGCCAGAGTCCGGCGACACACACCCCCGGCCATCTTTAGTCGTCCCACAAACCCGCCTCGGAATTTCAGGATCGGGGCGCTCTCCGCAGGTCAGGCATTTTTCCTGTGAATCGGCCGAGACGCTCGACGGAAGGTCGAGGAGACCATCTGGGCGCGGCAGTCCTCCAGAGGAGACCCCCTTCTACCTTCGCCTCAAGGGCTGCTCTGGGAAGCCGCAGCGAAGCGAGTCCCGCCCCGCAGCGCGCAGCAGCGCTCCTGACCGCGACGGCGATAAGATAAGAGGGGCGGACCGAGGAGGGGGCAGCTATATAAGCGACGGTGGCGCCCCGGCTCCCAGTCTGCTTTTGCCTAGCGATCTCCTCCTGCTCCGCCGCAACCATGGTGCTGACCGCCGAGGACCGCAGGCTGCTTCAAGCCTCCGTTGGCAAACTGGGCTGTCGCCTCGAGGACATTGGCGCCGATGCGCTGAACAGGTAGGCGGGCGGGCGGGCGGGCGGGCGCAGCTTTCCTTTCCCGCGACGGCCGCCCGCTGCCCTCCATTTCCCTGCCACCGGGGCGCCCTGACGGACCCTTTCCTCTTCCTTTTCCCTGCCGCAGGTTGTTACTAGTCTTCCCGCAGAGCAAGACCTACTTCTCCCACTTTAACTTGAGTC